AACATTCCTGGAAGATGATAACAATAAGCAAAAAGATCAAACAAAGAAATATCATCTTTTAAAATATAACTTCGATGTCTTGGTTTTATTGATTCAATAGGTTGATAAGATAAATTTTTATACCATGAAATTTGAGTTAAACGAACAACAAGTAACATTTGAATAATTGTCCAATCAGTAGAATATACTAAATAATAATTATACATTCTCCATGCATGACCATATAACACATATGCAAATTGGAAAATTAAATTAATATAATGAGCTTGTGGGAATGGAATTAATTTCATGAATATAAATGTCATAAGGATTGCAAAAGTTCCATGAAGCATATATTCTTGGAAACAAACCCATTGACAAATAAATGAAATAATGATTATATACCAAACTCTTAAAGTTCTATTCTTAATAAATTTACTAATTAAACCAAATGGAATTGGTGCTAAGAATAAAAGAGCAACAGTATAATAATGTGGAGAAATTACAGGTATTGAATTCCACAATTTTTGTATGGTTTCCATCCTTAAATATTATTGTCCTTTAAAAATTTTTTAAGTTCATCGAATCGCATCTTTTTGCTGACAATCTCACTATCTTTGTTTCTATCTTTCGTTAGAGAAATATAGTTTTTTAATAATTTTTTATTAAATTTAAATAGTTTTTTATATATCTGATTCTATATTTATAATCATCGATTATTTTCTCGACTCTTATTTAAAAGATAAAACAAATATAATAATGATATATAAAACAAAAAAAAGAAAAAAACAATTCAATTAAATAACAAATAATTAAAAAAGAAAATAATAAAACAAACAAAAAAATAAGAAGAAAAAGAAGAAAAGTTCTGACTAAAAAAGAATAAAAGACGATGTTAAGTATTATCACCCTTTTTCTTATTTTTTTAGTTTGTAAGAGTCAAAGGGCTAATTCAATTAAAAAGGATAATATATTTCCAGGAGCAGATATTGTAAATAATGCAATGAAAGAATTTAGTGAAATTTTAGAGTTATTAATTGGAAATAGTACGATTCCTAAAGAATTGACTGATAGTCAAAGTAAATTACCAAATAATGAAGAGCCAAAAACAGGAAGAGAGCATTTAATAAAATACTTAAATCAAGTATTATTACGAGACATAAGTGATAAAGAAAGAGAAAAAATAGTAGGAGATAAAAACTATGATCATTACATTGCCAATATTCATTTAAGTGCAGCAGTTGAGATGGAAGATCCAATTGCACAATTAATTTTAGCAAATAAAAAGAATACTGAAAGTCATTTAGATGAAGAATGTTATGAAGTAGTAGAATTATATATAAAAGGATTAAATAAATGGTTATCATATGATTCTGAATTTCAGTTACCAATGGGATTTCCATTACTTCAACCAGTAACATATGGATATGCACATAAAAACGCAGTACCATTTTTAAAAGAAAAACTCAATTATTTAACGCAAGAAATTAAACATATAATTCAGTATGAAACAATAAGTTCAACTGAAATGATTTATTTAGGAAAGTTATTATATAGATTAGGATATAAAGGAAAAGAAATTTATGACTTATTTATAAAAGCAGGAGATATGGGAAATAATGATGGTATTGTTCTTGCTGGAATTTTAACAGAATTAGGAGTTGGTGTACCAATGGATAAAATAAAAGCAGCAGAAATATATTATGAAACATTAAATAAATCAAAATTGGCACATACAAGACTAGGTTTAATGTATCAACAAACTAATTCTCCAATTGGATTTTCATTAGAAGAAACTTTTTCTAATTTAAAGAAAGGAGCATCAAATGGACATGTTGATGCATTTTATCATTTAACAAATTTATATAATAGACCATCAACTCCTTTTTATAACCAAAGTCTTTCACAACTTTATAGTAAACAAATGTTAGTTAGTGACCAAAGTCATGAACAAGGTTCATATTCATTAGCTTTTTCATTATTTGAAAATAATTCATCAATCGGTTGTTCTTCTAGTATTACTTTACTTCATCATATTTTATTTAAATTAAATCTTCAATTCCAAATTTTAAATGAATTAGCTGATAGATATTATAATAATAATATGTATCATCCTGCTTTAATGATTTATCAATTTTTATCAGAATTAGGTTTTGCTAATGCTCAATTAAATGCTGCTTTTATGCTTGAAGCAGGTCAAGGTTGTCAAAATGTTTCTTATGAACTTCGTATGTTAAAAGCACTTCATTTATATGAAACAATTTTTAGAGGAAAGAAAAATAATCTTCTTTGGACTTTATTTATGAAAGAAATTCCTGGTTTAAGTGGAGTTGAAGCTGGAAGAATTGGGGATTATTATTATTATGGTATTGAAAAGGCTCCTGCATTAGATAAAGCTGTCGAGTGGTATTTAATCGCTACATCATCGAA